TTGTAATACCTTAACTAATAAAGAATTTTAAAAAAATTTAAAAAAAGATTCGTACTTTGTCATTGGTGTTTGCCAATTTAATTATAATGTGTCTTGGTGTTGGTCTTTTTGGGTTCACCTTGTTTGGGACTCTGTGAGGTTCTTGGATATGTGTGACTTTTTTCTTCCCAATATCAGGAAAGTTTTCTGTCATTATTTCTTCAAAAAGATTTTCTATTCCTTGCTCAGTTTCCTCTCCATCTGGTACTCCTATTTATGTGGATGTTGTTTTGTTTTGTGTTGTCCCAAAGCTCCCTTAAGCTCTCCTCCTGTTTTTTAAGGTGTGTTTTTTTTCCAGTTGCTGCTCTGCTTGGGTATTTTTTCCTATCTTGTCTTCTAGCTCACTGATGTGGTCCTCCACTTCTTCTAGTCTACTGTTAATGCTTTCTACTGTGTTCTTTATTGCAGCGATTCCATTCTTCATTTCTTCTTGTTTCTTTACCATTTTCTCTTGATTCTTACACATATTGTTGATTTTGTCTTACATCTTTTTCTGTGTCCTTATTACCATTGCTCTGAACTCTTTCTCTGACACATTGCTTGCCTCCATTTCATTTTCTTCCTTTTCCTATGATTCCTCCTTTTCTTTCGTATGGGGACTGTTCCTTTGTTTCCCCTAGTTTGTTCCTCTCAGGGTGCCTGGTTATGTAGCTCTCTCTCTCTTACATTGACTCTCTCCAGGCAATCTCTGGATTGCCTCACCAGCTGTGTTTAATTCGGCCACCAAGTTGTCTCCCCCTGGACAAACTTTTAGGTGCCCATTTCTGGGGATGTTGGAGTCTCAGTGTTTGTGGGTTTGCAGCTGAGGCAGCTGGTCCCTAGGCATTGTGGTTGTAGGGTCCCAGGAGGTATCCCAGGTCTCTCCAGTTGAAGGTAAGGCTGGGCTTCCAATCACAGCTGCTCTCCCCTTTAAGATGGTGTGGTCTCTCCCAATGCATGGGTTTTTGCTAGAGCTCTCAACACAAAGCCATCCACATCTGTTCCTTCATTATTCTTTACAACATCTTTACGAGTTGAGTCGGTGGTGGGATTTGCTATGTGGCAGTTTGTGGTGGCAGCTCCATCTCCTCTTCTGCTAAACAAAATTTTATTCTTGAGTTCTCATTGCCCCATGGTTGCGCAGGATTTGAGAAATTCATTCGCACTGATATCCCAAAAGATGAAGAGAAGGTACTGAAAGGGAAGCCATTTTTACTAGTTTTCAGTGGGGGACTTCTGTGGTTGGAAGTCTGTCTCACCTCTATATGAGACAAGCATTCCCTTCTCAGAAGCAGATCCAGTCAGAGAATCTGAGGCTGCTTCCTATGTGTGTGTCTAGGAACTTTATTTTCAGGGCAGAGGAGGCAGTGACTTCTGGGAGATCCTGCAGGCTCCGGGGCCTCTCTGGGTACCAATCACAGAGGCAGAAAGTGCCCACTTTCTGACCAGGCTGTCTTCCCCATTTTGTTCTAAATAAAACCTTTGGGCCACATTTCTTTAAAGCTCATGGCTGTCCCTCTCCGGACTGAAACAGCCATTACCTCCCAGAAGAACTAGCTCTAGGAAGCTTGCAAACTACAAAAAGGCAAGGTTTGGCTATGTTACCACTAAGATGGTCATCCTCAGGATGTTGGGCTCCCCCAGGCTGTATTTTCCTGACCTTAATGTAAACTCCCTAAGTTTTCTATTTTAATGCATAAGAGTTACTTGAAATCTATCTACTTGACTACAATTTTGATAGACGTACAAAATAGTGTTAAGCCCAAAGTAGGTGTAAAATAGTGGATAACAAATGTGAAAGTTTGACTCACCTTGAGGTTTCGTGATGCGCTGAATTTGTAAACTGTGTCCGTTTGCACCTGTAGCAATGCATGTTTTCATGTCCACTGTGTAGTTCTGATTATTAATTAGGACATCAACTGTTTCTTCCCTGTTTTTTTCTGGCCTCCTCCAATTTCATATTGGTTATTTTGTCAAAACTACGATAAGTGTTATTGTCGTCATATTGCCATTCTACAAACTCAGTGATATAATCTGCTCTGGATTCCTGCTCTTTGGCTGATCTAACTGTCTTGATCATCTCCTCAACTGCATTTCTAGCCTGTTCCACATCTCTGCTAATCCCTGAAACCTTAATCAAAGGTTTCTGATGGTCCAATTCCACCAAAATATTCAAGTCCTTCTGCAGCTTATTCAATTCCTGATATTCCTTTTCATCAAAGTCTTTGATACATTCCTCTTCACTGGTGTAAAGACTCTGTTCCTTTTCCATCAGATTCTGTAGGCAGTAGAGGGCGTTTTGTACAGATGTTTCATTTTCACCACACACCTGAAAAATTGCTGATTCCATTTTCTTCTCCAAAACCAAAGGCTTTCGTTTGGGGGGAGGTTGCTTTGAGAAGCCCAAAAATGCTAAAAAAGAAACACAAGGGAATGCAACAATTGTTTTAGATTTAAAAAGAAAAAAAACATATTTAGCTATTAGCTATTTCTCCCTGTCTTTCTCCTTTCCTCCCTCCCTGCCTTCTTTACTTCTTTCTCCTTTTATAGTCGCTGTGCTGTATATGGAATTTCTAGAGCTTATTAACCTTATAATTGGAAGTGTGTACCTTTTGAGCACCTTTACCCATTTGCCCACCTCCCACCACCCCACCTCTGGCAACCACCAATCTGTTCTCTGTATCTGAATTCAGGATTTTTTAGATTCCACAGATTAAACTTATTATACATTATTTGTCTTTCTCTGTCTGACATTTCATTTGGGATAATGCCCTCAGGACTATCCATGTTGGTGTAATTGGCAGGATTTCCTTTTTTATGAATGAATAATATTCCATCATCAATGCAGGATTAGTCAAAAGTAGGTTTACAGCTGTTCATATGGAAAATAATACCATAATTTATAAGTAATGCAAGAATAAACTCAGTTTCACATACAACTATAAACCTACTTTTGCCCCACCCTGTATATACCACATCTTCTTTATTCATTTATTTTGTCAATGGACAGTAGGTTGTTCCCATGTCTTTGCTATCTCAATACTACTTCTATGAACATGGGGGAGCAGATATCTTTTAGAGATAATGATTTCATTTCCTTCAGATAAATACCCAGAAGTGTAACTACTGGATCATGTGTTAGTTATATTTTTAATTTTTTTTAGGAACCTCCTACTATTTCCCATAGTGGCTACACCAGTTTACATTCCCAGTGCATAAGGATTCCCTTTTTTCCACATTTTTGTCAACACTTATTTCTTGCCTTTTCCAAAATAGCATTCTAACATGTGTGAAGTGATATCTCATTATTACTTTGACTTGCATTTCCCTGATGATTAGTGATGCTAAGCCCCTTTTCATGTACTTGTTGGCCAATTATATATCTTCTTTGGATAAAAATATGTCTATTCATATCTTTTGTGGATTTTTTAATTGGATAATTTGGGTGTTTTCTATTGAGTTGTGTGAGTTCTTTATATATTTTTTATATTAACCCCTAATTAGGTATATGATTTGCAAATAGTTTCTCCCATTCAGTAGGTTGATGGTTTCCTTGCTCTACAGAAGCTTTTTTTGTCTTATATATTCCCACTTGTTTATTTTTGCTTTTGGTGTGTGTGTTTTTAGTGTCAAATCCAAAAAAACATTGTCAATACTGATGTTAAGAAGCTTACTCCTTATGTTTTCTTTGAGAAGGGTTATGGTTTCAGAACTTACATTCAAGTGTTTAATCTATTTTGAGTGGATTTGTGTATGTGGTGTAAGATAGTGGCCAGTTTCATTCTTTTGCATGGCTGTCCAGTTTTCCCAACACCATTTATTTTAGCATATGTGCTACTGAAGTGAGTGCCCAACACTATTTATTAAACAGACTATCCTTTCCTCATTTTATATTCTGGGCTCCTTTGTTGTAAATTAATTGACCATATATGCATGGGTTTATTTCTGGGTTCTCCATTTTCTTCCACTGATCTATGTGTCTGTTTTTATACCAATACCCTACTGTTTTGATTATTACAGCTTTGAAATATACTTTCAAATCAGGAATCATGATGCTTCTAAATTTTATCTTCTTTAAAGAAAATACCTTTTTGCTATTTGGGGTCTTTTGTGATTCCATACATTCTTTACAATTTTTTGTTGTATTTTTGAGAAAATTCCATTTGAATTTTGTTGGGATTGCACTGAATCTGTAGATTGCTTTAGGAAGTATGGATATTTAACAATACTAATTTTTACAATGCATGAGTACATAATATCTTTCCATTTATTTTATCTTCTTCAATTTATTTCATCAGTGTCTTACCACTTATACCTTCTTGGTTAAATTTATTCCTAGGTATTTTATTCTTTTAGATGCAATTGTAAATGGGAGGATTGTTTTCATTATTTTTCTTTCTGATAGTTCATTAAAGATTAGCATCTTCAAAACAGACAGAAAAAGACAAATACCATAAGATCTCACTTACATGTGGAATCTAAGAAAAAAACACAAAAACAACACACACTCATAGAAAGAGATCAGATTTGTGGTTACCAGAGGTGGACTGGGGGGAGGGAAAATTATAAAAGGAGGGTCAAAAATACAAACTTCCAGTTACAAGATAAATAAGTACTAGGGCTATAATGCACAGCATAATGACTATAGTTAACACACCTATATGATATATGACAGCTGTTAATTCTAAGAGTTCTCATCCTGAGGAAAAAAATTCATTTTGCTTTCTCTTTTCAAGAGATGTATGAGATGATGGATGCTAACTAAACATAGTGCAGTAATATTTGTAAAATCAAACCATTATGCAGTATACCTTAAACAGTGACATATGTCAATTATATCTCAATGAAACCAGGGGAAGCTAATAAACTACCACAAAAAATAATGTAGAATTTTAGCTATTTCTCACATGACCTCAACATTAGGAACATGCATTTCATAAAAATCAACAACTCACATGCAATTTTAGACATTATAGACTGTGAGGGAGCCTGGGAGCCTTCTCTTTTTCTCATATTGGCAAAAAACACATCCATTATTTGAGGCTGAAAGATAACAACTTTAACTTTTTTCATAGACCGGACAAGTCCTTTCTGGATAAAGTCTTCAATGGCATCCATTATGGCTTCAGCAACCTTATCTGGGTCTTGTTGAGC